CCCAGTGGGTCAGTCTGGGCTGGCTTGGGGCACAGGAAAAGAGCCAGACCCCTTGATCAAGGCCCTCTCTCCCAAAGATGGATTGTACTCACTCTTCCTGATTTCTGTCCTGTTTGCAGGGGCAGGTCTTCCATTGCTAGCATGATGGGGCTGCTTGGCTGGGCCTGCCTCAGAAAAGTCTGCTTATAAACCAGGGCACAGCTTTGGGGGAGGACATGAATGACCAACCAGGAGCTTTCTTGTGCCTAAGCGTTTCTGCCCCATGTGCTGAAGGCAATGGTGAAATAAAATTACACAAAAGTTTTGTTCTGCCTTGCACCTGCCAAGAAACGCAACCTTCATGGCCCCTGCCCCAGCTTGCTAATGGTTTTACGTCTCTGCAATTGGACGGGGCACCAGGCAGATGCAGAGGACACATGGGCGTGAGTTGCCGTTTTTTCAAGGGAACAGGTGGTTTAAAGAGGGAAAGGCGTGCTCCCGCACTCTCTCGCAGCAGAGGACGGGGTGGGCTTCCAGCCATCGTGAAATCTTGCTTCTGGCTCTGCCCTGTCGCTGTGTGAGGACGCAGGAGCGATGGTAAAGCAGTGAAGCTGTGGCGTGATGAATTGCAATGCAACCCAAAGGTCTGACTCGCGTTGCCAAGAGCACCTGAACCTCGCTCGACGAGGGCTACGGTTCCCACAGCACCGTGCGGCAGAGAGCCCTTTGTGGGAGACAGTGTGCACCCCACACGCTGGCCCGTGCACTGGGGCAGCAGAACTGGAACTCGGGCACATGAGCTCCTGATAAATCACTGATGTAACTTTCTACAACTTGCAAAGTTGAGCCAGTATTTCCCTGCTGCCTGCTGCCTTGCTCCCAAAACTAAGCTCTGCTGTCGTGAGTGACAGGACATTTCCATCCCTATTTGCCTCCTGGCCAGAGGTGTCTCACTGCACTTCAGCTCCGCCTGGCCTCAGGAATCCAAGTTCACAAGCTCCGGGGCCAGGACGAATCCGATAGACACACGACCCTCCCTCCCCAATTCTCCAGCGAGTTGCAAGGGAGCTTTGCCTCCAAGATCACTGTGGTGAAATCGGCCTACTTATTCCACAGTCCTTTGGAGCCAGGCAGGAGGAGGGGTGCCAGGGTCAGCAGGGCCAGGTCCAGTATTAAATGCAGGACTCCTCAAATAAGCCATAGCCCTGCTCCTCGCAGGCCTCTGCCTTCCTTTCCTGAGAACCTCAGTGTGGCACAGACTCTGCAGGTGCTTTTCTAAGCATGTAACATTGTGGGTTTGTGTTTCTATGACACTCAAGGGCACCGAGGGAGAAACAAAAGGGTGGCCCCATTTCACTGTGACACCAACACTCTGAAACGCCCTTGCTGGAGCTGACAATAGGCAGAGATGGGAGGGTTTTGCTGGGTGGAACACCACAGACCCAGAGCCAGGGTTCCTGCGCCAGCTGGCTCCGGTTCACTGTTGCTGAGCAGGAAAGCACTCCCTGAGCACACAGTCCTACCTCCCTCTCTGGCGTGGCTCCCGCAGATAGCATGCAATAGCTGAGACCAGAAAAGCATCCTGGCACTTTCTAAAACAACCTGAGCCAGGATCCCACTTGGTTGCTAAAATTCCCAGCCCTACCTGAGAGAACTCCCAGGCAGAGGGGCCCCTGCTGGAGAAACAGGGACTTGGGAACACCAGTGTTTGCCTGGTTCTTGGCAGGGTCCAAGAAGGTAATGCAGGGGCAGGGATGTTCGCTACTCGTGGTGCCAGCTCCCGAGAGCTGATCTGTCCATAAAGCCAGTTGCTGGCTCCTTATTTTTAGCCAATGTTCTCAGGAGCAGAGATTTATCCTTGGCTCGTATCACGCTTTGCCACAGCACCTGGTCCTGCCTGAGTCTCTGGAAGACAGACGCCCATCTCACCCCCTCCGTCCACAGGCATGCCCAGACCCGGTTCTTGTATCTCTTCCCCACCAGCTGCCAGGAGGGATGTAAAATCCCATTTAACTGGTTAACCGTTAAACACGATGTTTCCAGACCACCCATTCCCTGAGCTTTCCTTTCCTCTCCCTCCTCGTGCACCCCAGCCCTCTCGTCACAGCTGTCCACTGGACTGACAGTTCCCAGGCTCCATTCCCCATTAGCTCCAATTTCTTCCACTGCCGCTTCTTGACCACAAACTCCTTGTCCAGCCTGTAACTCAGGAGCCAAAGGCTCCCATGTCTCTGTGGGAGGCTGTTCCAAAGGACACACCCGCTGCAGAGACTGGGGGAATGCCCAGAAGCACCCATGGAAAGTCATTACAGAGTTCCCCAAGCTGTATTCCGGACTGAAGACAGAGGAGTCCCAGTATGTGCTACCAATCTCTTCTCTGAGCTGCTTGCTGTTCCAATTTGCTCTTTGGCTGGTTGTTAACTACAAGACCTCGCTACAATTGCCACTGGCTTTCTGATGGTTTCCTCAAACAAACAGTGACTCTAGAGAGAGTTGATATTTGTACAGCACTTCACTCACTAAAGCTCCTAGTCAAGTGGTCTGGCACCTGAAATGCAGCTGCCTCTGGGGCGAGGGACAGCAAGGGAGCAGACAACTGGCGCTCAGTGATAAAGATCTTTTGGCCAAGGACTGCCACAACAGAATTAAACCATCATCATTTTTGACAGCCTTACAGAGACAGGGCCTCCGATTTTGAAAGCACAACTCCCCAGGGGCATAGGAGAGGAATGCCTGTGTCTTGGAAGTTGAAAGGGCTGAACTGGTCACCCTACAGCCCGCAACAGTTGGAGGAAGTTTTCAGTTACGGAAAGGGGTTCGCTTGGAAGTTGGAACTCCTTAATTACCAGCAGCTAACGTGACAGCTGATTGGCATCCCATCCAGTACAGACATTCAGCCGCCTCTGGACCACGGGGGTTTAACCGCTCCCAGCCCCACTAGCAGCTAACAGGGGAGGAAGATGCCTGCTCATTCGCTAAAGCAAGAGCATGGACTGCAGTTGTACTCCTGGGGGTACAGGCCAGAGTGTGCGCACGCGTGTGGCCACTGCCCTCTGCTGGCCTGTCTGGGAGCAGCGATCACTCGCACCAGGAGCTGGTGCAGCATCTCCACTGAGGAACGGCGGAGGCGAGAGCAGAGCCAAGGTCTGGGCCAGCACTCCTGCTCCTCTCAGGGAGAAGACGGGACCAGAACTTGGTGCGACGCCCCAGCTGCCAATGCAAAGCTGCTCGATGGGCAAGAGAGGAGAGCTTCCGTTTCGGTGTCCGGGGTGCCAGAGCTGCCGAGGCTAACACACACCACAAACACCGGGCAGGGACCGGGCCTGAGCTCCAGTGGGCAGACACAGTCACCACTTGTTAGACAGTCTGCATCTGCATCCTGCAGGAGTCGTGCGCATTACTGCCGAGCCGGGAGGGGGGGCTGCGGCCGGGGCAGACCAGGAGTGGGAGGAGCCCCAGCTCAGTCAGGGGAGCTGTGCTGAGCCACCTCCATGCTCATCCATTTAAGTGAGTGGCTGGGACAGGCATAGGGCGGGATCCCAATGAACTTGCCATGAGGGGAGCGGCTTGGCACGGCCTGGCCTGATGCTCCAGGCATCACTCCCTGGCTGCTGCAAGAGGAGTAAAAAGCAGGCAGGGGGCACAAGCTGGCTCTGACCTACAGCCTAGCCCAGGAGAAGCACGGCCCAAGGGCTGCTGGGCAGACTCCTGCGCTGCAGAGCGCACAAAGGGACTAGTCTTATCAGGTGCTGGACAGACCAGGAGATTTCTGTCTTTGAGCTGACCCTCTGGGGGGTCAAAGATCACCCATAGAGCAGGCAAACTTTGGAGGCACCCGTGTACGGAGGGGTTTGCTTTTACTTTCCTGTGCATGGCTCTTCCGCACCGCTGCCGGGCTTGGTGCAGCAGCGATCACCCCCCGAGACTCTGGTGGTAGGTGCGGCCCAGCTAGAAGCAGGAATTGCCTCTTCTGACGTTCCCAGTCAGGTTTCACTGATGACGGTGGTCCAGCTGCTTTTGGGAAGCTTCAAACCCTTGGGGACTGATCCAAGCACGAACAGTTTGAAATGGCTTTGCCGCTACTAGCCTCAGGTCTGCGCACAGCAGACACTGCTGCAGGCTGGGCGTTTAATTCTCCTTGTGTTTGCTTGAGAGCGAGGTGACTCATTTACCCTCATTACGGAACATTTGCTTTAAGTGCAGAATCTGCTTTGCTAATGGCTTTGGGTCTGAAATGACAGCGCAGAATGAGCACCAGTTCACTTGCCTGGGCCCACCCTTTGCACCAGTTCAGGGCCTAGCAGCAGCTTTTCCTTCTACCATGCCGGATCCCCAGCTAGTCAGCCTTTCCCGGCTGCAGCCGTCCTGCCCCCACGTGGAGATCATTCTGCCAAGACTGGCGCTGTGTGCTCAGATATCCCGCCAGAGATGATCGCTGAAGAGGCCCTGGAGCTGCACTGAGAGGCCAGAGGGAGTTGGGGGGGTGGATGTCCACAGTGAAATGCCAGGCTAGGGGGCATAGTGTGATTGTGGCGGTTTGGGGTGTTCTTTGCTTTCGGAGGAATTCACAAACCAAAAGACAGACCCACACCAGTACAGTCTTTGATTGGGGAGCCAATACTATGTTTGGAGTCTGACGCGGGATTTCTAGAGGCACTGGGAGCTGGGCAGACCATCGTCCGTTTCTGTGCCTCCGGCTTGCACTGTACAACCCCCCAGCCGTTTTTACAGTGCTGTTCTGCCTTGTCAATATGAAACTCTGAAGTGAAATGGAAAGATGGAGGTCAGCGTAAGACATTTCATTTGATATGGAAGCCAGGCAGTGGAGTCAGTTTTCACGTCACATTCACTAGAAGCCTCCATTAGTAAATGTACCTGAAAGTCCCAAATCCAATCAGGAAGTGCTATCAAATGTAAGGGTGCTTGTCAGAGTACATGGAGCCTGGTTTCTATTCATCTAGAGGGAAGCACATCTCTGCAGCACACATTTCTCAGGCTCAGAACAGCTGCATCAGCAGAAGCAAGGTTCCAGAACGATAAATGCTTTATTCTTCACATCACTTAAAAATAGAGGGACAAAATCTCACACTGAAAGAGAGACAATCACATGGAGCTGTGTATATTTTACATAATCCTACTTCTAAAGTGGATACACAAAGGAAATTCATATCCCGGCAAGGTTTAGAAAAGTTGTTTTGTGGATTTAAATAGAGTCACACTGGATGTGGTAACACGGAAGATGCCAGGCAAGGAGCAGCGCATGGGAACAGGTGCCCTATGCGGGGAAAATGGTCTTACAACTTGTGTAACATTCTTGAGAGTTTGCCCTTGGCAAATACAAATCTCCCTCTTCCCAAAATGAAGTGTCCTTGCCCACAGGAACACACCTGGGCTGAGAATCAGTCTGCATACCTGGCACTGGGCTCACCCTCGGCCCTGCCAATGCTTCACGGGAAATTCTGGTTCAGAGCCACATCTAGGATGTGCAGAATTGTGCCACAGACGAGGCTACCTGGGATCATTCGGTGACCCTTGGGCAATCCCTGATCGCTGCTGTTAAATTTGGTACATTTTCTCTGCCTTGCTATTTGATTCAAACGATATTCAGCCACATGAGCATTAGGCAGGTTAACATGATTGCAACTACCCTCAAAAGGCACAGAAGTCTCCTCCCCCTTGCCAACTTTCTCCAGATGAGACAGGTCTACGATGCCTCGCTGCACTTGGATGAGCCTAGAGGCGCGGCCAGGTTGATAGCCTACACACATGAAAATGCAGAAGAGAAGTGTTTTCACTCCGTTCCCACAACTATCTTCTTCATGGCAAGGACTAATGGCACAGGGATGGGTTTACGTGATTGATAGAAAAGCTCCACCCAGCTTGCTTTGCCCAGAAGCCTCAACAAAAGCATACAGACAGCTATGTCTTGTACAGGACACTTTCACACCATCCCTGGGGAAATGGCCATTGACTTCAAGCTGCTTTCGTTGCAGCAAGGGCAGGAGGACTGCTAAGTACAGGGGAGTCTCAGAGGCTCCTTTCCTCGGGTAGCTCTCTGGAGGCGTCTGCAAGTCCCAGCCCTGCGCTAGCACTGGGAGGGGTCAGCGATAACCCTGTGAGGCCAGAGACAGGCCAAGAGGTGCACTGCATCGAGGCAGGCTGCCAGTTCAGCTGGAAACAGAGAAACACGCGAAGGAATAAGGACAGATTAAAAATGAGGATGGGGGGGAAGAAACACCTTGTGCAGCAGCACCACATGTCCTTGTGTGCCTGAATGCACCCGCATGGCAGCTGCGGTCCCCTGGGCGCAGCACGTGCAAGAAGGCCACTCCTGGGCGGGGTGCTCACGGTGGGCAGCAGGGAGCGTGCCGCACAGCTGATCGCTAGCAGCACGTTTGGGATGCTCCTCCCGGGAAGGCTTTACAGAGCCTCTCACTCCCACTTGTAGAGCTTCACCATCTTCTCCGTGAGAGTGGCCAGGAAGTGGCTGCGGTTCACCGTGAAGGGGCAGATGTCCAGCACAGGGAGGTCAGCTTGTAGCTTCTGCAGTAAGGAGCCACTTCCAGCATCCCATACCTGTGAGGTACAAAGGGTCAGTCACCACGGCCCCCCCGCAAGCCGTGCGTCTTTCCAGAGCTGCTGCTCCCCCTCCTCAGCTTAGCCCAGCCCGCAAACACCTTCCCTGGTGGCCACACAGCTTGCCGTTAGCCCTCTCTGGAAGGGATCATGAGAGCCGGGCCATGCAAAGTCCTGCCTCCCAGACCAGTTCTAACAGAGCCAGTGGTGTCCTGGTGGCGGGGCAGGAAGCGCAAGGCTACTCCATACTCCACTGTTAAAATGACTGCTGCAGACACAGCAGGCCCAGCACTGCCAGCTGACATCCCAGAGGAGAAAGGACCCTGCCATTCCTTCCCTGCCGTGCTGACAACATTACAACAACCTAAGGAATCAGACAAGTCACCTGCAAGGCAAGAACGGGGTGGCTTGAGGAAGGGCAGGCCAGTGGGAGAGATTACACACTGCTCCCAGCAGGTTGCATTATCTCCGGCTTAGGGATCAACCAGAAAGCAGGCTGGGAAGTAAATTAAATGACCCATGTGAGGGAAGGTGGGGCTGCATGTGGGTCAACGCTAGTCCCTGGCATCCTAGGCTGCTGCCAGGGTAACTGCCAGGCTACCACTGCAGAAGGGGGCATGAACTGGATTCAAGTCAGGGCAGTGGAAGCCTGGCTGCACCAAGGAGGCTGCTCTGAGCCACGGGCACAAGGAAGAACTGCAGCGGGGAGTTTATGAGTCCTTGGCGGCAGCGCGTCCCTGGATCGCATTGGAGGCGCTGGCTAAGGAACATCAGAGAGGAGAAGGCAAGCACTGTCCTCCACGCACTCCTCTTCAGTCCTCCCCCTGTACTCTGGGGAGACACGCGCACGAAGCCACGTGCCCTCTCCCGGCTGCAGGTGGCTGGACAGAGGAGAAACTTACGGCCGCGGTCTGGGCCGACTAAACCTGCAAGCTTTGCCAGCAGCCTTCTCCTGCGGCCTCAGGTGGGATGTGCGGGCCAGGCAGCATTAGCAAGATGTAAGGGGGGCTCAGACCATAGTCTGGTGTCCACACTACCCTGATCCTGCAAGTCATTTTGCCCTCAGGGCCCCAGACCCCAGACTGAGGCTGGAGTCTGAAACGTAGCCACTCACTGCCGAGTTCTTAGCCTGTGCGAGCTCAGGGACACCAGAAGGTGGGCAGGCTGGCCCTTTGTGAGGAGACCGCACCGCAAGACCTCATGATGTGTCTCGGCAGGCTCAAACTCTTCCCTGGGAGTCCGTACTGAGCTTGCGCACTGTTACTGTAAGTGGCACTGGCGCCATTTGTACAGGGAGCTGTTTTCTGTGGAGGAAGGTGTTAATTCCTTGACCCTTCCCAGAGTCTAACATAGCTAAGTACATTCTGCCTACCCACAAACCTCCAGTAGGAAGCAGGGACATGTCTGCTACCAGGCAACCTGCCTGTATTTAAATTAACGTAAGTGCACAGCATCTACTTTTGTGCACTGCTAGTTTACGGCCAAAAGCAGCATCTCCAAATAGCCAGGGAGCGCGCCGGTCCCGCATGCCAAGTGGGGAAAGTTAGTGCGCACGGCAAGTTAATGTGCACACATGCCTTCCTGCCCACTCACCTGCTACCCACAAAGCACATTCCAGCACCCAGGAGTAGGGCTGGGGCAGAGACAAAGCCCGGCAATAAAACACTGCCCTAGGGCAAGTGAAAGCAAAAAGGAGATACCATGGCAGAGTTCGAGGCCTCGTCACCAGCGCACACCAAGACGCTGCCATCCTCCTCGGGACTCTGGAAGATGGCATTTTTGGTCAGCAGTTTGCAGGTGGGCCCAGCACTGAATGTCTGGACTGGGTGGCAGGAGCAGACCACGTCGACAGATGCATCCGTCAGCTGGCTACAGGACAGTTCCATCACCACACAATGCAGGCAATTGTTGCTCTTATCTGTGGGGTGTAAATAAATAAGCTCTGCTGAGGATCTGCTGAGAACCTGCCAAGTTTTCCCACTGGCCAGTAGCCTCTCCAGGAAAGGGCAAGAATGAAGCTGGAAGGAGACAAGACTCCTAACCCCCCCCCCCACACACACACACTCCAGGTCACCACAGGGGGCAGAGACCCCCGGCAAGAGGCACTGTGGGACACGTTCTGTACACATGCAGACACACACAGAGCAGATCCCGCGGCCCAGGGGAGGCCTAGTACTACTGTGCTATCCAGGCCTTCACTGCTGGAAAACAGAAGCACCATTTCTGCTATGCTCTCGGCTCCCCTAGGCGGAAGGGCACCTCTCCAATGCTGCCACCTCCCCGGGGGGGCGGGGGAATGTGACAGAGCAGAATGACAGCAGACGGCTAACAGCGCTGCACAGAGGGCGCTCTGCGTGCCCACAACTACTTACTAGGCCTGTAGGTTGCAAGGCAGTGCCGAGTGCTGATTTCAGTCTGAATATCAATGCAGCCACCAGGCTCCAGAGGCAGATGGTGAGGCTGGTAGGAGTTGCTGGCCTTCTGTTCCCAAAAACAGCCTCCTTCTAAGGTCCCAGCCACTACTCCACCATACGGCAGTGCAGCAGAGGCCATCCGGGGCAGGTAGGAGAGCGACACCATCGGACACCTGAAAGGAGAATTTGCAAGAACTTGTCATGCCAGCATTCAGCTTTAGTATTTCCAAGCCCCTTCCTGGCCAGTTAGGCACCTGCTGTAGAGGAGCTTCATTTAGGTTCTATGTCCCTAGCTCCTTTGGCTACTTCGTGGTTTGGTCCATTACCTTTCCAGGAGCTGACATCCACTGGCTGCTTTGTAAAGCTCCAAGCTGCCCTTATTCCCCTTTTTATAAATGGCCACTGCTCTGCCCTTTTCTGGTCCTCTGGAATCTCTCCTGCCTCCCGAGAGTTTTCAGAGAATAGAACTGCTAAGGGCGGAGACAGCTCCTCAGTCGGCTCCTCAGAGAGCAGGACGCCTGGTGTTGGTCACAGCGCTAATCCCCAGGGCTTAAGCCTCCGGAAATTACGTACACAATACTACTCAACCTGTCTGCATCACCTCGTGCTAACTGGTCAGAGTCCTGCTTCCCCATGTCCAAACCAGCAAGAGAGAAATCCAAGCCAGAGAGGTAATGATCTTGGTGCTTCAGGGTCTTAAGCCCCAGCTTTCTTCTAGCAAACCAAACCAAACAGTGGCCCCATGACAACCCAAGTGGGGGGTCACAGTTTACTAATCCTCTAAGAGGCGAGCATAAGTTAATGGGAAAGAAGAGGCCAATGCCCAAGGAGGCATTTGCAAACACTGTACAAGAGCTGCTCCACCATGCCAGTTGGGGACATCAGAGCTAAGCAGCTCTGAAGAGAACCACTGGTAGCTTGGCATTATTGCTAAGTGCTGGGCACAGGCTCTCCTTGGGAACCCTTCTGCACAATAGTACAATACTTCCAACAGGTCTCTTAGCATGTCTAGGAACCAGCTATCACACAGCTTGGCCCCGCTACCTATGAAAGAAGAAATCAGGTACGCAGAATGCAATTCATAACAGTAACCCTGTGCCCCTCCCGCATGCTCACGCTCAAGCTACCTTTCTCCACACACTCCTGACATTGCACACTAAAATAGGCTGTGCTGCCAAACTACACATGGCACCCAGAATCGTGACCAGACACCAGTACTAGGGATTCATTCTCAGGTGCTCAACTGCAGAGGGGCAGTCTGTCTGTTCCAGCCCTGCGACTAGTTCTGAATCAGCCCTGGCTGCACCACAAGCAGGATTTGTACAGCTTGCCGTTAGCGTGCGCAGGCGATCACGCTCACCTGATAGATGCTACATTTTACTTCCTGTGTACTTTCCGGACAGCAAGCACAAAGCCGTACCTGGACTTCTGAGGGGCTAGCTCCTGGACATGAGCGCTCGTGTCCCTTAGATCGTACACCAGGATAGAGCCATTCACTAGCCCCGCATAGACATAGTTGGTATCATCCAGGCACCAGCAGCAGCTCCAGACAGGGCGGCCAGCATTGTAGGTCTGGACCACAGTGTTTGTTGTCAAGCTGCAGAGGGAAAGGAATACACTGACAATGCGTGTAACACACCCAGCCAGCGACTCCAGAACAAAGCCCTCCTGGGGGACTGAGCAGTAGGGTGTCCTACAGATTTCATTTCCCACACCAAAGAAATGGATCTGAAGAACATGGCTAGTATAGCACCGTGAAGCTGTGAAAACCAACAAGCTGGCAGCATTCCAAAGCAGACAGACGCTGAAACAAGTAAAATATTTCCTTCTCTCTGGCCTCTTGGTCTGATCCCAGGGAACAAGTCACTTTACAGTGGCTGCAAGGACTGATTTCAGACTGAGGTCCTAGCTGCTGTGTCGGGAGAACAGGGTTACATCACTTGACCGGAACTAGTTCGGAGAAGGTCTCCAAATACTGTGATCTCCCTGAAACTAGGAGCCTCTCATTAGGGTTTCTCCCTCTGCTTAGTTATTCTCCTCTGCATGTTTATCTGAGGGCTCCAGTTCTGAGAAATAGCGCTTACCTCAAGGAAGCGGATTTAAGCAAGTGTTAATAGGATAAACAAAACAGTATCCCCACATCTTTTATTGATACAATACAAACACACACACAGATCTGCATGTCAAAAGGCCAGTGGGGAGTGTATGCGGTGTAAAATTATCTTGGTATTTGGGAGAAGGTGGAGATGCTGAAACAGCAGCTGAATTGGCATCACTGAAGAAACTGGAAAATAAAGTGGATTTTGCTTGGAGGGATGTATCAAACATGTGGCAAACTGAGATCTAGTACGGGTGAAAGATAAAGATGGTATCAGCAAAAGGAACGTGCAGTCGTTCACCCAAGACACCTGCAACGCATATTCTGCGGAGGGGACCACAAGGGAGAAAAGTTCCAACAGTGGGGAACCAGACCGCAATGACTTACCAGAAGAACAATGTGTTAGGTTTTCTCCCTCCCACCAGAACAGGAGATGTAACAAAAGGGGCAAAGTACAACATAGAGAATCCCTATTAGGGCATGCAGATGAGAACACGGGATTAGAAAGGGAGGCTGACCCAGTCAAGCACAGGCTCAGGAACCAATGCAGGGAAGTGGAGACTGGCTGAAGCAGGCAGTCATGGAAAGGAGAAAGGAAAGGCTGGATATAAGCGTTGCTGGAGACTAGTTGGTGGGCATCTCCGCAGGGTAAAGAGGAAGGCTTGGGAATAAGCACTGCTATACTTCTGTGATGAATGGCAACTATTTGCATTCAACGATCTCCAACGAGGCAGAATACTAACCTTGCTCTCAGAACTTACACACTGGCTTTAGACAGGCAGGAAGCAGTAATGTGTGTTACCTCAAAAGGAGGAGACACATTCCACCACCCAGACAATAGGAACGGGAAAATTAGAATTACATTAATATTTCTGCAGAACAACGCTGCTTTCTTAAGGACATATGCACTGACGCAAGGAGCACAGAACACTGGAAGAGATAACTACCTCAAGCTCGAGGGCATGCCCAAACCAGAAAGGGGAGGGTCACTTGAGTAGCACTGGATCCCAGGGTATAAGGTCAGCCAGTAACAGATACTGATCTGGACAGAGGTGAGCTAGAAGCCAAACCCTGGAGCACGTGAAGGGCAGCAGGACTGGACAGCCCCATTCAGCAGCACACACCTGGTAAGTTTGAGCGTGTGGTCCAAAGCAGCAGAAAGCAGCAGGCCGTCTGTCCGATTACTGAAGGCCAGGCCCCGGATCTGCTTACTGTGGATGGGAACGTACTGAGTGCTCTTCAGGTTGGCAGCACTCATCATCTTAACGCCACAGCCTGTCGTGGAGAAAGGACAAAGCTGATCATGCAGATCCTGTTACTGGGGGGCCGACTGCCCCGCGCTGCACTGCAGAGCCACAGCCCCACACTGGATGTGTGAGGCATGAGCACAGGAAGGACGGGTACCTGATCTGATGCTCAGTCACTACAGAACCCCTTATTCTGCTCCCCCAGGCCTTCTGGTCAGTGTGACACAGGGCATGAGAATTTCACAGTAACATTGTGATCTCTCGGGGCCAAGTTAAACAAACCCTAGCGCTGGGTGGGGCTGGAGCTCTGTACAGATAACAATGCACTTTCAGAGGACAGGCACAGGTAAACTACTCACCTGAACCCTAGAAACGTCACTCTACAGAGCTCCAGCCACATACTACTGAGCCAGAGAGCTGTCACCATACAGACGCTCAGATGACTAAGGTGAACCGAGGAGCTGTTCAGAAAGAAGTCTAAGATCTCAATTCACAGGCCACAGAAGTGTCTCAGTTCCCGGCAATGAGAGCCGGTATGACAGTGTACCTATTTTACAGACAGGAAATTGCACACAGAAGACAAACAGCTTGACCAAGGTCACATAGCAAGTCAGCAGCAGAGCTATGAATCCAATACAAAGGATTTCCCAAGCCCTCTCCATCCATGGGGTAATACTGCTTCTGTAGGTATATATGGCTAGTTACAAACGCATTCAAACCAATATCTGAACATCTGTTCCCAATTACTGGGCAATCCACACTTCTGGATCAGAGGGCTCCTGGATGAGAGCTTGCATTTAAAGCTTCTCCCCAACTCCCGTGGGTGCATATCTCCAGCTCTTGCAAGGGAATCTTCTCTCTGAGAAGCACCACAGATCTTTCTACACTGCACAAAGGTGGGGTTTCCGAACAAAGGACAGAGCTGTAAAGATCAAGTACTGAAGAGCCTATGGGGAGGTAAGTCACACTGCTGGGAAAAAGCTGAATGGGGATACGGTAGAACGGAGACCAGTCGTATTAGTGAGGGGTCACTCCGATCCACAAAGTGGATGTCTGGGTGGACTGAGGAAGAAAGAGCAGAGAACGTGTTTAACTTTTGCAAGCCTGCAAATAAGAATACATTGATTTGTCTATAAAACCTAAAGAGCCTGTAGTTAGTTGATGACTTACCAGGAATAAGTGTGGCCTGCGGAGAGGGTTGTGACACCACAAGACAGCTCAGGGAGTCACAGTAAGCCATAACCCGGCAGCTCCCAGACTGAGACACCAGGAAGGCCTTCTCCAAGTGGTATCTGTGCTGGCTCTGACTAGAGGAAAGGCAGCCTGGGAAACAGGAGCGAGAGCGGCCAGGCTGCTGAGAGGTGCTAGCGCTGTGCTGGGCCATGAGTGCTTTCAGCTCCTGAAAAGAGAGAGACACGGGCGCTTTACTACTCCACTGCAGCTGCTGCGTAGCAGGGCCAGTCTACAAGGGAAGCGCTGCCGCCATGCTGCTGCAGCACGTCTGGGGGAAATGCTCTATGCCAACGGGACAGAGCTCTCTCATTAGCATAATGAGCCCACCTTGCAGCAGCCCCCCACCTCTGCCACAAGGAATGAAAATCCTTGGTTTAAATGCGAGATGTGTCTCAGGAATTCACCACCACGAAGGCAGGTCAGTTCCTCTCCTCTGTACTATGCTTGGGTCTTTCTAACTCTAGCCAGCAGAGATTCCAGGAACAATTCAGTTTTGTAAGGCGCCAAGACTTGTTCTTTCTCCCAAGCCCAGAACTATGCTCTACAACATTCAGTGCAGTACCCTCCAGAGCGACCTGTGCTCTAGCAAAGGAACAGGCACTTGCACAGTACTGAAAGGGCAAGCTGCAGACAGTGTCACTATAACAGATGTTCACTGGATAGTTTCCCTTCCCACAAAGGCCATCCACACGAGGTGGGAGACCACGGCAACTCTGAGAAGCAGTCTGCCCCAGTGGTTACAACTTAACCCAAGGTCCTGACCACAACCACTAACCCCATGATGCTAGATGCTGTGTAATCACAGACATTCACAGATACCTAAAGCAGACAGAGAGATCGGGCCTGCCTGCCACAGTGTGGATTACTTAAAGACGCACTCCAAACACAGTACACTGTCTGCAAAACAATTAAGCACCACAGAAATGAGATTACAGATTTAACCTCTGTAATGTATGCATAAACTAGCTGGTATAGTTGTACCAACTAATTTTGCTCAAACCAGAATTAATCAACAGTAGCAGTTCTAAAAAAAAAACATTACAAGAAAATAGGAGTTTCTAGATCAAACTAATTTATAAATTATCTCAAGCCAAAAACATACAGATAAGCAAACTAAGCAAAACCCTACTTGAGAACTTACTGAATTAAGAATATTTAATTTATATACAGCCGTGGTCACCAACAGGTCGATCGCGATTGGAGGCCTCGACCCGTCGATCGTGAGGCATCCTGTCCGCACCGCCCCCATTTCCCTCCCACCCCTGAGAAGCCCCACTACCTACCTTAAGTGAAAATTGAGGTAGTGCCAGCTTCCCGGGGATGGACAGAAGTCCCGCAGCTTAGCACCACTTCCGGCGATTCCAGAAGTGCGCTAGCTGCTCTGCCGAGTTTACTGCGTGAGGGAGCATCGGCTCCCTGCACCGCACAGGAGGGGTGAGTCAGGCCCGGGGGAGGCGCACAAGATGTATAATTATAAATGCTTTATTTTAGATTTAAATAGCATGAATAAAAAACAGATTATTTATTTCATAACTATAAACACGTGATTTTAATTTTATATATTGCATAATTTAAAAATAAACTGTTTATCAGAGTGTGTAAGTAAGGGTTAGGGATAGCAAGTGATGGACAGGAGGAGAATAGAGAGGGCGGGGCGGTAGATCTTCGCCTGTTCTGAGATTTAAAAAGTGATCTTGGGTGTAAAAAGGTTGGAGACCCCTGAGATACAGTAAACTTCAGATAATCCGGTACCTTTAGGACCCAGGGGGTGCAGGATTATCAGATATGCGGAGCAGCTGGGGTGCTGCAGGGTTGGTCTCATAGCGCCCACTCCTCGGCACTGCGGGACCAACTCAGCAGCACCCCAGCTGCTCTGCCCCTGGCTTCCCAAAGCCCCCTGCCTGTCAGCAGTGGCCTTGGGGAAAATAAAAAAGAAACTCTGCTAAGCCATGTAACAAGGATTCAGCACTGGTGAAATGTACCAGGTAGCACAACAGCTGAAAGTCCCAATCAGCCTTCCCGTGCTCTACACCTGGGGTGGGCAATAATTTTTTTTTTTTATAAGGGAGCACTCCAAGAATTTGATAAGTGATCAGGGGCCACCTTCTTGCTTGCAGCAAGGCAGTGGGGAGTGAGAGATCTGGGAGGGAGTTTGGGTGAAGGAGGGGACTGTGACTGGGGGCAGAGGGCTGGAGTGCAGAAGGGGATGCAGGGTATGGAAACCAGCCAATGGGAGCTGCAAGATTGGGGAGGGGGGTAGCATGTGAAGCATCCCCCCCCCCCCCGGCTCGCAGCTGTTCACAAACAGGGGCCCACAGCTGGCTGCTCTGCATGACATGCAGAGGTGAGGCAGGGAGGGAGCCTGACTGAGGCTCCTGCTGCGCCTGCGGGCTGGCTCAGTGGGCTGCATATAGCCTGGCCCTGCTCTAAAGGAAACCAGTGAAGCCTTTCCAGCCGCAGCAGCTGCTGCTGCAAGTGATAAGATCTCAGAATGTTACAGTTCTCCAGTCTGATCTGGAAAGGAACTGATCACCAGGCATCTCTGCAGCCAACAGTGTGCTCTGAAAATCTACAGGTGTGGTCTCTAGACAGCACTTCCCCCTGCAAGCAGTCTGCTAGCAATAAACCGGTCACACTGAGAGGAGGCCAGAAGAGCTAGTGCTGACTCCTGACCTGGCTGCAGCAAAGATGGAAAAACCTACAGGACAGAGTCCAAAAGAAACCTGGTTTGTTAGAGCCCAATTTACCGAATACACACTAGAAAGCTGTGTTAGAAACACAAAATGCTCAACATAGGCATTCACTCTGGTGGTTATACGGAGTAATAGCATGTGGCTTCAGAATTAATCACTTGATTATAATTGGGAATTTCACTTGCAATAACATGAATGACTTATGAACAGTGATGGAAGTGGGAGGGGTGTGTGTGTGCGTGCGTGCAAAGTATTTTATCTTGTTTCTGTCTTCTTGGAAGAGCAGGTAACAAGCTCTCGCAGACTAAACATTAAAAAAAAGGGGGGGGGGAAGGATGTTAGATAGGGACATACCCTGGCCACATATCCAAGCTTTCCTATACTCTGAAGCCAATGGGTTCCTATTAATAGGCGCACTATCATGAGAGCTCTATTTATCAATACTTAGATGCTCAGTGGCAGGTGGATAACTCAGCACTAATAAAGCTGTAATAGCAGCAGTCAGAAAACCTGGAGCTCAATGAAGTGGCCATCAAGCATCTCAGAAGCACAAGATACTAGTGGTGTGTGCTGCATGCGCCTCTGTGGTATCCAGGCCAGCCCGGATGCTCAGGATTCACTTTGTGAGCCCTCAACAGCTACATCCAATACTGCTAGCTGCTGTTTGTCAGGAGAGGGAAGGCACATCACAAGATGAGCTGGAGAGCCCATGTCAATGGGTAGCAGCTGAACTTACCTGCACTTGCTTGCGAAGTTTACTGCATTCATCTGTCAAGACCTGCAGCTGGAGACGACTCTGTGCCGATTCCAACTCGGCCCGTCTCCGCAACATCTGCTCCTTTTCTAAAGAGCTGAAGCCAGGGGAACAAAAGTAAAATAACATTGACTGGAGCTAAGTTAGGATGTTCCTCTGGGCTACAGTTCTATCACCAGTGGAGGTGAAAATAGACAGACATGCTCAAGGTTTTCAGTAAATCCTGTTTCACGGCCTTGCACTTTCTATTACCTTAATTAGCCTCCTGGCCATTAGCAGGTGGGCAAGGTGTTTTTGCATAAACAGTTCTCATCTGCACCTCCCTCCTAATAATTCATTGGAGGTGAATAGAAATGATCCTCAATTATACTGAGTTACATGTAGCAGTAACCTTTTAGCTAGAGGCTCACGAGGACCATTCTGCTGCTTTTATCCCCATTCCATCAATCTCCAAATAAAAATGTGAACACGGAGGAAAAAAGATTATTTACATGTCCTATGTAACAGTTCAACAGCCAGAAAGAGTGAGGGGGGATTTGAGAGCAGCCTTTAACTACCTAAAGGGAGTTCCCTAAAAGGACAGAGAGATGCTGTTCTCAGTGGTAACAGGAGGAGGAGCAATGGTTTCCAGTTGCAGTGAGGGAGGTGTCAGTTTGATATTAGGACATCTATTTCCTTAGGAGGCTGGTCAGGCACTGGGATGGGTTCCCTAGGGAGGGAGTGGAATCTCCATCCCTAGAGGTGTTTAAGTCCCAGCTTGACAAAGCCCTGGCTGGGATGACTTAGTTGGGATTGGTCAGGCTGCATGAAATCTGTTTTCTTTCTTAGGCATGCACATGTGGGACAGAGGTGGCACCTCTGAGGAGTATATTCCATACCTTTTCATGCGCTCCTGTTCACTGGTGTCCAGTGCCTTCAAAGTGCGGGCATACAGGACCACAACATCAGAGCGCTTGGCCTTCTTATTACACTACAAGAAGAAGTTCATTTTATCAAAGGAAAGTAACATTCAATTCAAACCCAAATTAAAAGTTAAACCCAAATGGTAACTATTCTGAAATTCCCCTTCAAATGTTGCTATCCATGCTATTTTGAAAGTTTGGATCCGATTTCCTAGTACAGCATCCATCTTCCAGAAAACATCCCTCTGCTGCCCTGGTCTTGTGTTTCAAGAGCACCAACCACCCAAGACCGCCACATAAATCCTGTGAGCAACTCAAATGCTCATGCAAACACACAGTTCCCACCAGCAAGAATCAGGTACTTCTTGAGTCTGCTCACAACTCTATCATGTACGCACTATCTGGTGTTTGAAAGATAATGCTGCCATGGTTGATCTTCTGGGATTTGATTTAGTGGGTCTAGTGAAGACCCACTAAATTGAGAGGGGGCTCCCATCAGCACCAGGACTTCTGCTCCTCATGAAGAGTAAGGGAAGCTGACGGGAGCACTTGCTCCCATCGGCCTCCCACTGTGTGAACAGAGCAGAAACTCGATTTAAGATGTATCTGTAATTAACATAGCTGGAGTTGTATATCTTCATTCAACCTTCTGCTGTAGTATAGACCAGGCCTTAAGCTCGCTGAGCTTCAGTTTCATTTTATTAATACCACCCTGATTGGGAGAGGACCTGCAAGGGTTAGCTTTCAAAAAATGCTTCGTAGGCATCAGATAAGAGAAAGTACAGACAGACGATATCAAACAGCCTTTGGGGAATCCCACATTACTTCCTGCCTTTTATTGCAGGTGTATCTACTGTGCAGTAGTACAGACATCACGGTCATTATTTTCATGTCTGGCAAAAGACTGTATGTGTAGGTAGTCAATGCCTACAATTGCTTCCCTAGCACCTCCCAGCTGTTACCGGCAGGATTTAGAACACAAAACCATCATGCACTCAAACCACCTTTTCTACAGAGCCACGTGCCCAGCAACGATGTGAAAATCAGTTAAAGTGGGAATGGAGAGAAAAACCCTTCGGGCTAGATTACCTCCTTTCTAGAGCAACAAGCCCATCCCAGAAAGGCTGTGTCGCTAGAAGACACTCACTAAGCAGCCTTAGGGAGCCTTACCAATCATTACACAGACATCCATAATGCTCTACTAGAAAGTTTGGTGGAATAGAATAGACACCAAAAATCTGATCCCTCAGGGTATCAACTAATGTGTTTCCTGAAGCATCTCCCCTCCTCCCTTGGAAAGAGAAGTACTGAGAGAAAGAATGAGACATCACAGAAGTTTAAGAACTGAAGTCCAAGTCTAAGGAATGCTGCCCGAGGATTTTGTTCAGGGAAAAAGTTACACAGATTTGACAAGGATGAGCAGCGAGACATATCAGATTTTTAGGCCTTTCCAGTTTGGCCATCGGATCCTTTTGTTCAGCT